GGAAAGGTCACCCCTTCCACCCAGGGGACCTGGGGGTGAAGGAAAGAGAGAGGGGCAGGGGGTCAAGGAACTAGAGACCTGTCTATAAAGCCCAATGGGGCCCTTGGCTGCGGTAGCCATCCTGGGTTTTGGAGGGAGGCCAGCAGCCCGCCTCTGACCATCACCTTTAGGGCGACATCCCGAGGTTACTCTGGGAGGAAGTACAGCTTCAGCATAACTGGGAAGAGATGCATGACCTGCCTTAGTGCCCCCCCCAAACCTGCTACCCCACAGGTCCCAGGACTCGCTCTTGGTGCAGTGAGGTCACAGGAGTCTCCCCACCCCCACGCACTCAGGGAGAAGAGCAGACGAGGAGGCTGTCTGGGAAAATGAGCATATTCATGCAAAAGCGACTGAGAGGTCTCTGGAGGGACTACTAGATTGTTACATCAGACTAGGTTATAATCCAGAGTGCACTAAGTTGAACTTGTTTTCCCACCACACAAGGGCTGGGAGCTTGTAGGAAAACCACACAGTTAAAAACAAAAGCAGGTACATCTTCTTTGTACGCCCTGAGTAGTTTGAACGGTTTGCTGGCTCCTGTGCATGTGCCTTGACAAGCCCAAGGCCCTGTTTCTTTATCCGTTAAATGGAGATGAGCACTGATTCCCATCTCTGTCGCTTCACTGTCTATTTAAATGCTAGATGACATAGACGTCCTGGTCCACTTCAGAAATGCAGGAAGTTTATTTCTTACTGTGCTGGGGAAAAAGAGTAGAGTGATGAGGGGGACCCAGAGGGACAGAAGGTGCTTGGCCTGGGACCGGCCCCCCACGGCCACGATCTCTTCCACGGAGAGTGGAACAGACCCCCGTGCAGGCTGCAGATGTCAGCCAGGGGTGGATCCTCGGTTCTCATCTCTCTGCAAGTTCACGTGCCAGAGAGAAGGAGAGTACGGCAACCTGGGCCCTCAGAGCTGCGCCGGTCCTTTCAAGGACCACCTGTGGCATCGGCTCTCCTGGGAGTGAAGCGGAGCCCCCAGGGGTCTGCACGGCTGCGTGCTGTCCGCGCCCCTGGTCCGCAGAGCATGCCAGCGAACCAGGGCCGAGCTGCGCTTGCAAGAGCTCGTTGGAGGCTGAGCTAGTCTTGGCTCCCGGGTCCCCGTGCAGCCTCCATGCCCTGGTAAGAGTATATTATTTTCTTAGCTCAAATTGCCGTTTCCAAGTCATTATTTCTCTATGACGAGAAAACAATATTGGGTCTTATGTAATATCAACCTCAATGAATCTGGAAGTGATCATGGAATGGGTGGATTTTTTTTCCTCTTTAAAAAAGAGAAAAATAAATTTGAGATTGTTTGCATATGGCTGAGAATATTTATGAACTATTCCCCCTTGTTTCCTCATCACATGTTTTAGCCAGTGCGTTTGTGTGTGGTACGGAATAAATCTTTATGGGGAAAGTGGGGCGGAGAGGGGAAGAAAGCAGTTACAGGACCAGGGATCCATCAAGTGCCTGGGACGTTGGTGTCCCCGAGTCTCGGGGTCCCCGACCTCAGGCTCGCTTGCTGCGGTCTGCGGGTAACCCCACTACTCAGACGACGCGTTTTGGGAGCGAGGGTTTTAAATGCGAACGCTGCAGGAATGAACGTCTTCTGGTTACTCTGGTTTCTTTCATATTCCCCTCACGTTCACCAGAGCAGAAAGTTCAACAGCAACGGTTTCATGACCTGGGTGCTGTCAGCCGAGAGAGATAATTAAGTTCTATGAATGCCAGACTGAGCCAGGGTCAGAGGAGTGAGTTGGCAGCTGGGACGGAAAAGAACTGGCAAGGAGCGTATTGGTGCTGGCGTTCGTTATTCGATAATATGCAGCGTGTTAGCACACAGGCCCGTGGCGTCTGCTTCCCTCTGGCCGCGCCTCTCCACACGGCCTGTCACTGAGAAGGGTCCCCAGGGAGCGCGGGCATCGGGCTGTGGCTGCTTGTGAGATCAGCAGGAGGAGCAAAGCCTCAGCCCCGGACTGTTCATTTCCTCCTCCAGGGATCGGGCCTCACACTTGGAGCTTCTTAGGATCATTCTCTGCCACGCTTTGCATTTTTTTAGAAACACACTGACCAAAGATATGGGGTGAGGGACCAAGAGCAGAGTGACTGTCACATTTGGTGATGTGACGGCAGTGGTGGGCGCCTTTAACGGGCATCCTACTGTGGGCCCTGCAGCACCTGAGCTAATCCTCACGAGGGCTTTGTAGGGTTAGGTTGCTTTGGCCCATGGCTGAGATGAGAAAACAAAAGCTCGAAGGAGCTGAGAAACTTGCCCAAGGTCACGGGTAGCGAGTGCCAAGATGAGGGATGTTTCCAAGACTTGTGGGATCTGAAGCCAATACAATGAGTACTAATAAGGGATTTGTAAAGTCGACTTCGAGGCCTTGGAAGGGGCCTGTGCAATTATGGGACCTTGAAGCAAAAGTCTTAGCAACCTCACGTGAAGTTCACTCTGGGCGGGGTCAAAATTTAAACAGAGCATTAGCTCCAGGACATAGGGCCCCATCCCTGCCGCCTCATGTCCTCTTCTCCCTGCCATAATTATCTCCAACCGAACCTCCACATCCCTGGTCCAAAACACACACATCCCTGATGAGTCCGCCACACAGAGGACACTCAGAACAGCCGGCGTGGTGTTCCACGGTCGACGTTGGGATGCAGTAGCCACGCCCACTGTCCATTTCACCTTTCCATCTCAAGCTGTCACTAGAGAGGTAGTCAAAGAAATATTAAAATAATTTTGAATTTTTTAGTCACAGTTGATGTACAATATTGTATTAGTTTCAGGTGCACATCCCAGTAATTAGAAGTTTGCATAACTTACAAAGCCCTCGCCCTGATAAAACTAGTGCCCATCTGACACCATTCAGAGTTATCATAATATTACTGAGTATAGTCCCTGGGCTGTACTTGTCGTCCCTGTGGCTGTTCTTTTTCTTTTTAAGATCTTATTTATTTATCTTTAGAGGGGAAGGGAAGAAGAGAGGGAGAGGAATATCAATGTATGGTTGTCTCTCGTGCATCCCCTGCTGGGAACTGGCCTGCAACCCAGGCATGTGCCCTGACTGGGAATCGAACTGCAATCGTTTGGTTTGCAGGCCCACGCTCAATCCACTAAGCTACACCAGCCGGGGCCCCTGTGGCTATTCTGTAACAATCCAGAACAATCCTCCCAAGGAGCTGCAGTGCCCTCCTAGGCCTCTCTTACCAGATGTCACAGCAGTGCTTGGACCAGATGACTTGGGCACAGATTTGAGTGGCATCCTGCTCAGGTCTCCGAGGGGAATTTGGTTTCAGAACTTGCAATGTCTCACTTCCCATCACACATCTCTTTCCCTTGGATGTTATCAGTTGGTCGGATTTCTACAGGTACTCTATTTGATTTTTTCCTCCGTGATAATTAAGATTTTGTCACAATCTCCCAAACTGAGGAGGGTAGAAGGATTTGAGGAAGCCAACAAACCCAATGTAAATCACACGTGCTTGGAGTGGGAGGGAGTGTAATACGCTTTGCTGAGCGCCCACCCTCCGCTATTGCTCCTGAATAGGTTTGCAACCCCGTCACGGTCTAGACAATCGCTAAGGGGAATACGAGCATTTTTCCCGGCCTTGCTCACTGTCTTCTCTCAAACTGGAAACACAAAGCGGATGATGAAGTATGAGTTCAAATGCCACACCAGTGAGAAGGGAGTATTGGGAAACCACGTCCAACCTCCAGCCTGTTTTTAAACATTCCAATTAGCATTCGATTGATTTATCTTGGGCCGGTGTCATTTCTTTGTCGCCAACAAAAGGCCTTCTATGAAAAGACAAATGCGGGTTATGTGAGGAGTGGCTAACAGAAAGCATATTTGGGAAAATCTGAACAAAAGACAGTCCACTGAGCTCTTCTTCCAGGGCCAGCACCCCCTTTTTATCTGCTGGAATTACCTCAGGACCAATTCCTGTGACCTCAGTGTCACGTGGTGAACCAGAGTCTGGGAGACACCTCTGTTGGAGCTGGGCTGGTGACACAGGTGCAGTGGCTAAGGAGTGACGCAGCCAGCCACCTGTGCCACCTGCGATCCCTGAGCTCGGCAGACAGTCCTGTGTTGGTGCCCTGGGACCAGAATGGTCTGTGGGGTTCCGGGTGGTCTGCTCAGTGACAGTGAGTTTCCGGAGTTCTCCTCTTGAGTGTTCTGTTCTGCTCTTATGACTAAATGAATGATTGAAGACATAGTTATTGAGGCAAGGCCGTCAAGGTCGTCTGCCGCATCATCTTCCTATACACGCTCATCCTTGGCAGGGTTCTGTGCAGCAGTGACCACACATGTCTGTGGACCCTGCCCTTCCACTTGGGACAGCACTGGTTTGGGGAACTTGCAACGCCTCACTTCCAGGTTAAACTCAAGCATGTCTCCCTCATCCCCTCTGGTTCTCTGGGGACAGCACACGGGGCCCCTCATTCTCCCATGTCTTGTCCTCCCAGAAGACTTGCCCCCTCCCTTCTCGGGTGGGGCTGGCCATAGTTAACGCCTCCCAAAGACCTCGAGTACTTCTCTGTCCTGGGACTGCTATGCAGTTGTTATTTATCTATTTAACAGCCCTTCTTCATATAAAATTATGTGGGTAAATTGTGGAATATTGGAAAAATATACATAAGCAAAACAGAAAAATGAAAGGTGACTCTTGTTTGCATCTTCTGAAGATAAGCATCACTAAGCTTTGATGTATAGGCTAATGGTTGCTTCTATTAGAACATCTATTATCTCTCTATCTGTGTTGAAAGAAAAGATTAGCTAGTGTCTATTGTTTGCTGAAGGCTTGCTTTCTCAGGCTCTTCTGCTGCACGGTGCTCAGGGCTGCCAGGTTATCTGGAGTGTGTGGGGAGCTGGCAGGGTGATGAGGGGACAGGGCTCCGGATCAGCGACTTTGGTCTGAAGACTGCGGCTGTATCTGGTGGCAAGGTTGACACTTTTTTTGCTGTTCCCTGCCAGCCCTGGAGAGAGGCCTGACCAAGGCTCTGAGGAAACTGGATGACTACCTGAACACCCCTCTGCCGGAGGAGATCGACGCCAACACTCACGGGGATGACGGCAAGGGGTCCCAGCGCAAGTTCCTGGACGGGGACGAGCTGACCCTGGCCGACTGCAACCTGTTGCCCAAGCTCCATGTGGTCAAAGTAAGAGACCTCGACCCACACAAGTGCTTGCCATGTCCTACCCCATCTTAGGCTGGGGTCACCTGTGAGGTCGAGCCAAGGACAGGGCCACCTGCTGGCCCTGTCAAGAGCCTGGGCTCCGAAGTCACACGAATAAGGTCCCAAAGCCAGCCTCCCCTGCATGTTGGCTGTGTAGGCAATCTGAGGTTCTGTTTTCACCTGTAAAATAAGCACAGGTTGCTTATCTCTAGGGCTGTTGGGAGGGTAACGCACATGAAGTGCACGGTATATATAATAGTTGCTATTTTTGTATCAAATATCTGTAGCACCCATCACTCCAAAGCCCTGTTCCTTGCCTCTTCCTCAAAGGTGTTCACTGGCCACCCATCTGTACTACTTGCGCCCTCAGTACGCACGTTTTCTTTGTGCTCAGACCTGCCCCCTCATTCCCCGTAGCAGCCCCGTAGGGCGGGCGGGCATTGTCTTCCTCCTCTGTCAGCTGAGATGGAGGCTGCAAGATGCGGTGTCATTTTTTTACAATTTTGCTTTCTGACCACCTTCCACAGGCAGCATAATGCTTTCCAGTACAAATCTGAAGATCTGTGAATTAGAAAGAAAAGGATTGTGAGGTCATCCCAAATCGGGCCACTTTCTGTGCATCCGTGACAGGCTCTTGTGCGGCAGTGACCACAGACTTCTGAGGACAAAGCGCCCTCGGCCTCACAAGGCAGCCCTGCCTGTTCTGGATGACCGGGGACTAACACAGCCTTCCGAAAGCGCTGTGTTAATCCGGCCCAGCCTGTTGCCCTCATTCTCTGCAGCAACACGAGGCAGGGCTGCTCTTTTTGCTTCATTGGAAGACAGCAGTGGTGTCCTCGAACGTTTTCTGAACTAACACTTCTCACATCCTTCCCTGACCCTCGTCAACCTGGAGAGGACTGCAGTGGGGTCACAGAATTAGACTGCTCTCTGCACACACACGTGTGTCTATTGTCTCGGTCAGACAGTGAGTTGCATGAGGATAGGGCCTCTCTCCGCATGATGATGGCCATATGGTGGCCCTTTCCTAAGCGCTCATTTATCATTTAGTTGTGTCTTTACGATACCCAGTTTCTGTCTGCCTGTCTCTGAGAGGAATCAGGTTCAATCACTCATCAGCTGGATATCTGCCTGTCTTTTCCAGCTGAAGTCCTCCGCCAGATATGCAGGCTTCCCTCCAACCACAGCACACACCAGCCTGAGCTGAAATCACTTCGCTGGCTGTGCACTGGTGTTCCCATGGGCTCCGTCTGAGCTGGGGGCTGGGAGGGAATGATGCATGCCGGTGCCGGGGCCGGGGCCGGGGCCAGTGCGCTGGGCAAGTGGAGCCTGTCGACAGGAAGACACTTTGGGTTCAGTGCCAAGCCAGGGGTCCGCTGTAGGTCTGGCCCCCTCTCTTTGAAGTTATTAATTAGTGCACATCCCACTCCACCCCCGAAACATCCTTTGTTCTCTTTTCCTGAGGAGCAATGGTGCCATTAAGGGCAATATGATTCCAATTCAGTCATACTTGTCATAGTGTAGGAAGACCCCAGTTCTAGAAGTCAGAAGACCCGAGTTCTGGTCTTAAATCTGCTACCAGCTAGCAGCACAAGCCCGGGGCAGGTCATTTACTCTTTTTGGAACGCATTCCTCTCATGCCTAAAAGAAGAGATGTGGATTCTACTCCCGCTCGCTCCTTTTTTTCTCTCTCCCTTCCGTCCTTCTTTCTTCTCTCTCACTCAAACATATACTGACTACGCGCTCAAGAACCGCCTGCTGAATATGGTAAACAAACGGATCTTCCAGGGCCTGTGCTCCATCCGACAATTTCTCCAGCTCCTTCCAGCCCTGAAAGACTAAGTCGCAGCCCTGTCCTTGGATGAAGCTTAGTGAGTGGTTCCCTGGGAGAGGCTGGGGACCAGAGAGGGGAGGGCCTGCGAGGGCACAAAAGCTGGGCCTGGCCTCCTGTCTCCTTGGATTTCTGCTGATGCAGCTTATCAGATCCCAGAGACCTGGCAGACCTCTGATGTGCAGAAAGAGTGAAGGGGGAGCCAAGGCACGCCTCCGGCTCAGCTTCTGAGGATGCCAAAGCTTAATCTGGGCTGTGGGAGCTAAGTGTTTGCATGTGAAAGAGCAAATTCAGAACATGAGCATGGAAGTTCCTGCAAACGTCAGAGCTTCCTGTGCAAATCCTCACCCCTCACTCTCATGTGTGCCCTCTCCTCCCCTCTCCTCTTCTCTTTCTTTCTCTCCTCTTTCAAGTTCATCTTCATCCGTGGACGCCAGGTGGCTCTGGCCCACGTACTCACTGAGTGCCTGGTTTGAACTTTCATTGTCTGGCTCCCTTCCAGGTCTCGTCTCCCCAGGTCAAGCCAACACCCGAAGAAACAACCAGTTTTGTGACTAAGGCAGGTCTGCAGATTCTGGTGGGGAGGACACGGTGGGCCTTCTGTAGCCTCCTGTGGGACCTTTGCCTGGCACTGTGACCTGTCCAGCCCCTGCAGCCAACAGGAAGGGAGATATAGACACAAATATATTTTCATAGATTGCATTTCTTCTGTTTTCACACTCATTATATAAAAGCTTGACATTATGTTCCATCATGGCGAGGCTTGAGGCTGCTCTATCTGTCAGTTGGTCACATGCCTCTGCTGCACGGATTTGCTTGTCAGGCTGCCTCTTCCAAGGCTTGTGGGCAGATCCAGGGGTCCCTTAGCTTGCAGTGAACAGAGGGAGACCAAGGAGAACTGGTGGTGGGTGCTGGCCCCCGCATCTCCTCTTGGCAGTGTCCTGCTGAAGGACTCTGACCCCATCTCTCACTTTTGCTGACTGGCCACACCTAAGCTGGACACGCCAGGAGGGCGTACCCCAAACTGGTTATTTTCAAGAAGAGAATTTAATATAAAAAAGTAGTAAGGAGCTACTACCCTTTGCAACAACATGGATGGAACTGGAAAGCATTATGCTGAGTGAAATAGGCCAGGTGTTGAAAGACAAATACCATATGATCTCACCTTTAACAGGAAGCTAAACAACAAAACAAACAAGCAAGCAGAAAAAAAACAAAGACACTGAAATAAAGAACAATGGGACAGTGACCAGAGGGGAGAGGGGAGGGAATTTAAGGGGGAAAAGGGGGAGGGATTTGGAGGAACAAGTATGAAGGACACAGGGACGAGAACTAAGGGGGGTGGAAATGGGAGGGAGGTGGGGAGCACGGGGCGGGGGGATGGGATGGGAGAAATAGACAGAAAACTGTACTTGAAAAATAAGTGAATAAAAATTTTTTAAAAAAGTAGTCAGTACTGAAGAATGAGGGAGATGAAAGGTACAATGAACTTCCACCTTTAGGCGGCATCTACTGCCTCTGGGGTGGGGTGGGGAGCAGCAAATGGAAGAGGCTGGAATTATTAAAACTCAGAAACTTCAGTGAGGGGCCTTGGACCTCTGGGCGGGGCTCAGAAGATGGCCCCTGGGACTGGGACCCGACCTTCGCAGTGGGTCACTGTTCCGTTCTGGCCTTTCTGGGCTGATGTGAATACATCGTGAGCGCTGGCAAAACAGAAAACTGGATGCAGCTGCTGGTACAGAAACAAAAAAAAAGACTGATCGGGAAGAGGAAACCGACAGGAAGGGTCAGGTCCTGCCTCCAGCCTTGGGCCTTTCTTTTTAGTGCCCCTGCTGATAGAGCCTAACAGGGGGTGGCAGGCGAGGCAGAAGTGGGATCTACACTGCTTCAGCCCCAGCGCCTCAAAGAAGCAAATACATGCAAAGGTCGGTTTGGAGAGGAGCAAAAACAGCATAAAAACTGGCCCTGGAGAGATTCTTTTTTTAAAATATATTTTATTGATTATGCCATTACAGTTGTCCCATTTTGCCCCTCATTCCCCTCCACCCTGAACACCCCTCCCTCACCATTCCCCTCCTTAGTTCATGTCCATGTGTCACAAGTTCTTTAGCTTCTACATTTCCCACACTAATCTTGCCCCCCCATCTATTTTCTCCCCACCATCTATGCTACTTATTCTCTGTACCTTCTTCCCCCTTCTCCTCCTCCCATCCCCCTGTTGCTAACCCTCCATGTGATCTCCATTTCTGTGGCTCCGCTCCTGATCTAGCTGTCCCCTTAGTTTGCTTTTGTTTTAGGTGTGGTTGTTTAGCTGTCCTTTCACTGTTCTTATTTTTTATCTTCTTTTTCTTAGATAAGTCCCTTTAACATTTCATATAATAAGGGCTTGGTGATGATGCACTCCTTGAATTTGACCTTATCTGAGAAGCACTTTATCTGCCCTTCCATTCTAAATGAAAGCTTTGCTGGATAGAGCAATCTTGGATGGAGATATTCTGAGAAGAGCTATTCCTTTTTCATTTACATAGGGCTGAGTTGCAAAGTGGAGAGAACTGTGGATTAGAAAGCACAGGCTGTAGTAAATATTAATGATTATTCCACACTATTGGTTGAATTAATTCTTTTCCTGTGTCAGGTTGTATAAGCTACTAAGTCCCTGGTGGCTTCAGTTTGCTCAGCGCTAAGGATCTTCAGTCTTTAAAATTAAGAAATCTGATTGCATTCGACACTAAATGCATCTTGATGTTAGGATAACTGAAGACGGTAAAGATTAAATACAACTGTTTATTGAATCCCTATTTAACATCTTTAAGTTACTTCTCTCATCTGCAGCATGGGAATATAATACACTCTGCCTTGCAGAATTATTTAGCGATTTAAGCAGCTTTTAAATCGCTCAAAGCAGCGCCTAGAGGAGAGCACACAGCAAACGCATATTATGCGGTTACTGTTATCAAGAGCATTATTGAGGTTATGGAGGGGAAGAGAAATGAAGAAGCTGTGGTTCCCATCCTTACACTGCTCACACCTAGGGAGGTGGGAGAGACACTACAACAGTAACTGTGATTTGGAATAGAATAGACCTTAGTGCTGTAATAAAAGTGCAAAACTGACATAGGGGAGGGGAGGGGGAGAATGCACCCTCCTCGGAAACGTGATCATAGCTACGAGACTGAGCTTTTCATGCCAGTGGGTTGGCATTGGCCTTCACTCAGCACAGCCTCCCCGGGGAACCAAAAAGAGGATGAAAGCTCAGACTGGCCGACCTGGGGATTCTCTAAGTGGGAGGATCCTGGGGCCAGTGGTCTGCGGTCCTCTATAAGAAGAAAGCAAGTGAAGGAGTCAGAAGTCAGTGCTTTGGGAAAGAGGCTGCCCTTTGTCATCCTCACCCCAACCCTTGGGGGGCTGGAGGAAGGACCAGCTAATGCCCAGGCCCCCCCCCGTGCACACAATGAAAACAAAGCATTCAGAATTTCTAGACGTTGACGACAAAACATTACACCAAGAGCAGGGTCCTTCTGGTGTGAGGCCCGTGTGACCACACAGGTCACACGTGTGTGAAGCGCTCCCTGGCTAGTGAGACCTTATAAAGGAGACCACCCTGACCCTCTCTATGAAGGAATATATGCAAATACGTAAAAGGTGGGTCTCAGTGAATTATGATCAGAGGTGATATTTCCTGAGACCTGGGTCTGAGTCAGCTACCTCTGTAAACATTTGTGTGTGTTAACTAATTTATTACTCCAAGGTTGGTTCTATTTACCTCCATTTTAGAGATAAAAGAATCGGAGCCCAGAGAAGTTAAGTAAATAGTCCCTGGTCACATGGCCGTTTCGTCCTACAGTCAGGACTGCAGCCCCAGTCAGCTGGGATCCAGAGCCCGTGCTTTTAACCACTGTGCTCCCATTTCTCTCGGCACAGACGCCCCTTCCCGAGAGCACTCAAGCCCACAGCCCCCCAGTCTGGCCAGTGAGGGAGAGCACAGAAATCACTGTTTGTTCACCATTAACACCCTAAACCTAGATGTACATCCCAACATCTAACTTACTTTTTATTCCCTTCTATAAATAAGGGTGCTTATGTAAAAGAGAATGGATAAGGGAAAATAGAAAAAAATGACTATAGTTCTATCAGTTGAACACAACTGTCGGCGACACCTTGGCGTGTATACTTCTAGTTACCACAGACATGTCCTCAAGCATGTTATACTGCACTTTAAGTTTAGTGGTCTAGTTTGGAGAGTTTTTCAGATCACTGGAGTTCCCGCTACAGCATCATTTTTAATGGCTCTCCAGGATACCACTGTATTAATATATGATCATGTATTTTCCCACTCATATGTTGCTGGATCCTTGTATTGTGTACCTTTTTTTTTTGCCATTTCAAATAGTCCTCTGATCATATGTGTGTAGCTAAATCTTTGTGTACATACAGGATTATTTCCTAAGGAGAAATCACTAGAAGCTGAATCACTAGGTCAAAGGACAAATTACATTAAGTTAAGAAATATAAAATAAAATAATACAGAACAAAATACATTAAAATAAAACGAGGAGGCAGCACCACCCCCTTGCATCACAGACATTTTGCTGCTGGTCCATCGCGAAGCACGGAGGGATTTTTACCGTGCGCACTCGCTGGGTCACGCTGCCACCGCCTTCCCAGTGATTCGTTTCACGTCCTCACACCATCTCTGTCCTGCCTTCTCTGTTGCAGATTGTGGCCAAGAAATACCGCAAGTATGACTTCCCGGCTGAGATGACAGGCCTGTGGCGGTACCTCAAGAACGCCTACGCCAGGGACGAGTTCACCAACACCTGCGCCGCGGACGAGGAGATAGAGCTGGCCTACGCCGACGTCGCCAAGCGCCTCAACCGATCCTGAGCGCGGCCACCCAACCCCATCACTGCTGCAGAAGACCTCAGCTTCTCTCAAAGGCCTCCGGCTTCACAAACTCCTCTCCCACGCTGCCTTGAGAAACTCTTTTCTGGTCAGGCTGCACCTTGCTGGCTTCATTAGAACTCCCGCCTGCTGTCCTCTGTGAAGGTCAGCGCCAACCCCGTCTGATCACGCAGGAATCTGCAAGCAGAAATGCTAGAAACAAACTCCCAGCCTTTGGGCCTTGTCTGAGTTCAGTGTATTTGGGGTCAGTGTTGGAGAACCCACGCATGGGATCGTCACCGGCCCTATCTGCCAACATCAAACTATCTCCTCGGATGCGTTAGAAATATGCAACGCCATGTCCACCTCTGTGCTCCTCTTTGTCAGTAACTCCAAGGCCAAGGACAAATGCCATCTTAGTTCTTATTAGAAAGAGCTCCCCTGCTCTTAGGGGAGACAGAGAGAGTGAATGGAGAGGAACTAAGCAGGCTGGATTTTGGCATCTGGCAGACGCACCTCAAGTCACTCACTACTTTCCGACACTCCTGTCACACTGGGCACTTTGGGCACAGTCTCAGTTTACCGCAGTGCTGTGAATGTTGCAATGCTATCGTGCACCTGGCTGACACGGACCTTTGTTTTCATGCTGCCCGGGCCTTGCCAGAAAAGGAAATCGGCATGCAATTCCAAATTCGGGGGACTGGGGCTGGGAGGGGAGGGGAGCAGTGTTGATGCCAAAAGGCCCATGGGGGTCTACCAGCCATGGGTTTGACTGCTTAGGGGTAATTGCTTTGTTGCAGGTTACATGCCTGGGTTTGACTATGTTTATCTACGAGTGAATTTTGGTCCATGAGAAAACAGAAGTGTGTGGGAGGTAGAGGGATGGGTGAACATGAAAGAGTCCTTTTTGATGCTCACCTATCTCTGGGAATTTTGAGGGCAGGTCTTCTGTCTCATGATCTAACTAAGTCTTGAACTGGTGATGTCATGTGACTACCAACCTTGTAGCAAAAACCCCAGAATTGGCCAAAAATGACCTTGCAGGCTCTCTAAGTAGTTTCTGGATGCGGATCTCTGTCTGGGTGCTCTCGGGCAGCCGCTCCGGGCTGACTCCACTGCAGCCTCTGATGGGTGAGTCACAGTGAGGAGGTGGTAGCATGCTCATGGACCCTTAGGAAGAAAGCCCTGAGTCTTTCTGACTGGGAAACCATGTGGTTTGAACTTGAGAAAAAAAAATATGCCCATCTGGGTTAATGTTCTTACCATCTGACTCAACTACCAGATGAAGAAAAGGAAACTTTATTTTAGATAATATTGCTCTCCTTAGTTGTTGTTCTTGAGTTTCACCTCCTTAGAAGCTTACCCTGCATGAGTGTGGGGACCAGTGCGAAAGAAACGAAGAGAAATGAACTGATCGTCAGCTCCCTCTCCCAGGGAACTCCCTGTGAGGAAATCCACCCACCACAGACCCTCACCTTCAACAATCCTCCCTTCTCTGGTGCCTGTCGGCCAAGAGCGAGGTTCCCAAACGCCGGAAAGCCCCAGGACTTGGCTCATTGCTCGGGGAGGGCAGAGCGGCATGGGTCTTTTCCATAGAAACATCAACAAATTCTAACCCAAGCAATCCCCGGACCTACCTGCCTCCAGGGATCTCTGAAGGAAAAAGTGGCCCGTTGATCAGAGCAGAAAGGGGAGGAAGCAGGGGGTGTCCTTCAGCCCACTGAGGAAGAGGAAATTTCTCAGTAGGACATTTTACAAGCCTGAGAGTTTTGAAAGGCAGAATGAGTTGATTCATTTCCCCCTCTGAAGGATCCTTCCCACAACTCCCTGGAAACCTGTCTCTGGAGGTGCTTAAAATGGAGAACTGGTGAGGAAATAGTCTTTTTTTTTACCTTAAGGAAAAGCCCCAAACTGGCCTCTTGGGGCATGAAAGCGTGAATGATCCCAAAGGACTTTTAATTTGTGTGAAGTCCTCTTGTCCTGGGAATTTGCCCCCCTTCCCTTCGCATCCCAGGCACCATGACCTCAGAGGCAGTCTGCTCTCCCGAGACCCACGGTGGCCCTGTTCTTGAAGCACATCCGCGTAGTGCAGCCAGGGCAACAGAGAAAACAGACGGATGCCAGGAGGACCGACTGCCCCGGAGGGGTTGGCAGACAGACACTAGCAGCCTTGATTTGATATTCGGAGTTCCAATAGCTGGCCAGTCTTTAAAAGCAGTCTTTAAAAACAAACAGGCCAAACCAAATCAATATTGTTGTTTCTAGATGTTCCTTCTGTGGCTGACTTAATTTTACATGAATAACAATATTAATAGGCATGGAGGGCAGATACATGATTAATTATAATTATTTAAAAGAGGGGAAGGAGCCAGAGATGGAGGGATACTTAATTCAGGAATATCTTTTTATTTCAACAGTACATTATCATATAATGCAACTATTGACTTAGAGATTCAAGTTCTTATGACCAGATTTATCAGAGTATTTTTAAATAATGACAATGTGCCCTTCTGATTCACTTTGTTTTTTCAAAAAAAAGATTTTTCTTTAGATGCTTCAGCCTCCTGGGGGTTTGGCCATGACCTTGTAGCAAATCATACCCCAGCGACAGTGTGGGCGGTTCTCAGGTGTCCCCAGCACCAGCTCAGGGAGGACTGGAGGTGTGCGGTCTGACCACACGCTCCAGAGCTCTATGACAGGATGTGACTCTTGTCATGGGTCTTGAATGAACACTAATCCCTCAGAAAGCATTTCAGTGTGGCCCAGAAATGGAGTTCATTTGGGTTGCGTTCTTGTTTTATATTTCACTTATTTCTCTCCTGTGACTGGCATGTCACTATTTTTTTGCGGGGTGGCTAAGTGGGAGGCTGAGGCAGAAACAAGAGTCAAACTCCGAGTGACTGTTGAATTTGCCCACCTACTCAGCACTGTCTACCTCTCTGGTTGGCCCAGAGTGAAGCTATTGGAGAAGATTTTAGTAACTATAAAAGATGAGCTAAGTAAATCTTGATTGATCCAGAGCATAGTGCCTTCTGTTGTTTGCCTTCATCTCTTGACAAAGGAGGCCAAATAAATGCCCTGACAATTCAGAATCACAGACACGGCTATGAGGATCTTGTCTAAACAAGGGATGGAGCTCCCCGGCACCAGACTAAGGAGTTGGAAAGTGAAAAACACTCAATCACTTTCTTTGGCCACAGGATCTCAGACTAGTTTCAACTCCCAAAGAAATGGTGGTGTCCCTAATGGTCACTTCTGCTGGTGGGGACAGTGAGGAGCTGGAATTTTAATTAGAAAAAAACATGTTTTCTAGCATTTGTCAAATGAAGGAAGCAACAGAAGCTCTTCACCATATCTGTGCCCACTGGCAATTTTGCCAACAGAAAATACGAAGCATCATAGAATTGTCACAAAATGGATCACTCCTGGAATAGAGCCTAAAGTTCTAAGAGTCTCAGGAATCAGCAAGATCTGAGGGGGAAAAAGGAGTGGGGGAGGCAGAGTCAGAAAGGTGCAGGTGTATTCGGTAGGAGCTTGTCATCATGAGAAACCCGTGGGAGTCTGTATCTAACATAAAGCCGGCCCAGAGGTAGCAGATACCCAGGAGGTACTGCTGTGTCTCAGCCCTGTTCCCGCCAGCCTGGAGCCATCTCAACAGCACGGTGTGAGTCGAGATGGTGGCGTCTCCCTACTTGCACGGGTGAAGCATTAACTTAGAGATGAAATTAAGACCATGATTCCCAAGGGATAACTTCCTTATTTTTGTGTATGACATTAAAAAAATCATAAGCATTAGAGAAAGAAATGTGCTTGTAAAGCATCCTGGTTCTGGTGTCAGGAGAACTGACGGAGTCACACTGCCGGCCTCGGGCCCTTTTTGCACACAAGGACGACTGTCTTCTGTTACTGCCCTTCAGCATTCAAACAGGACAACATGTGCCCGCCACACGCATGCATGTTTCTCTCCCTTTGTCAATATTCCTCTCCCAGCTTGGTTTCAGCATCCTTTCAGTTCATAATTAGGTATGATTAAGCGTGCATAAGTTTATTTAACATTACTTATGGAAATAGATCCAATCCTTCCATCCCTAACCAAACATAAAATAAAAGATAGCCACATTAAAGGGTTTGGGTTAATCTGTGTTTCTATGAAAGCAATCTGTTTTATGGCAAAGCATAGTTTTAAGGAGCCAGTTATCTAAGGTATATATTGTATAGCTAGAGATTTCACATATATTTTAAATATAAAATATCCAGCTGATTTTGAATTTGTCTTAATTTCCTGACCACCCAGTTGTCCCATTTTATAAGCTGGAGCGTTAACTAATTTAGCAAAAGATGCTTAGCTTTTATGACAGAACAAACATTTCATTTTCTAAAGACACTCCTAAGGATGGTTACTTGATTTTCTCAAGACCTTTAACTGTGTTGATAAAATACTAGGACTTGTTTCCAGCCTTAATGAATGTAAAATGCCTTTTAATGAAGATATTGCTGAGTGTTTTCCTCATCTGAATCAGTTATAAATTTGTCCCCCAGTCTTGATTGGTATTGATTGATTGATTCAAATAAAGTTGGTTTATTTTCAAATATGACCAGAGTGATCATCAGCTTCTCCTTTGAGGTGAGGGTTTCCTGTGCTGTTTTAAATGACAAGTATGAAATACTGACTTTTTTTCAAAATAAAGGTTGTTGTATTATTTTCCATTATAAAAGAAAACACAAACTTCCAGTTACAAAATAAATTTTTATAAAAGAAAATATGTTCAATCTCCTTAAAAATTAAAACTAAATAAAAAGAAAAGGCAGAAGATGAGAAGGAAAAGCAAAAAGCTTTTGACCTAGCCATCCACACACTGACTTTTATTTTAGCAAGGCAAAAGTTTTATCATAATACATGGCTTGGTAAAAAAAAAAGTATTCTGATGTTCTTTCATGTTTCTAATTTCAATTTCTTAATCTGTACTGTAGGACCTAGGGGTAGGCCAACAGAGACAGTCCAGGAGTGACTTAAGAAATACCTTAAAATACCGTTGTACCAGCAGCCAGGGCTTGGCCCTCTGTGGCCAAGCCCCCTCAGCATCCCGGGCCTGAGATGCCCACCCTCAGCACCACATCACTGATTCTGGGTTAAGGTGTCCGGAGTCCTCGGTAAGTTTTGCCGGAAGCCATCATAATACCTGATAAGGACCTCTGCAAGCATTCACTTTGCTGGAAGATGCGCAGGTCCGGGCAGTCCCTGGCGTCCTCCATGCCTCTCAGAACCTGGCTTCTCATGACCTTGGACGGGATGAAGCACCCGACTCAGAGGACAAGTCCTGGTGGGAGCAGCAGCCTCCGTTGGTGTAGCAGATGCTGTCAGTGGGCATCTCTCCAGCCTGCCCACCCCCGTCTTCCTCTAGCACAGCTCTGTTCGGGTCGGGAATCCAGCTCCCTAGAGCTCCCCTCCCCCAAGTTCCCAGCTACCCTCCCTCTCCCTACTCTTACGTAACTCAGGTGAGAGTGTCTCCAGCCCCCGAGGCAGGGGTGAGTCATAAATGGTTTGAGCCCATCCTCCTGGCTGTGTTTGGTTCCTGAGTGGGCTTTTGACCAAGTTCCACCCAGTATTGTGAGGGAATATTTGTTCAGGAACTTCTGAGGAAGCCCTCCTTGTTCTGAAGAAAGTGACTCCCTAAGTCCCTGCCTTTGGTGCTGCCTCTGGACCTGGGTACAGGGCCTGCAACTACTGTACCCTCTGGACACCATGACAGGAGAGCCTGGGGAAAAAAGGCAATGGCCTGCAAAGGCAGCAGGAATGGAGAGAGCCAGGGTCATTGATGGGACCACAGAACTGCTGAATGGGCAAACTCTGAAACTGGTTCTAATTCCACATAATGCATCCCAGGTTGTTTGAAAGGGGTTATGTGTTGTTTGTTTATTATTATTATGAATGGCCAAAGGCTTCCTAAGTGGCATATTAGCTAAGTTTCTTGTTGTTGTCACCAGCTTATTCGATCATCATATTGCTCACTCCCAAGGTCACTCAGGAGGTGTTCTGTGTTTCCATTGTTCTGCATTCAAACAGGCTGACCTGGGGCTGGAAGCCTGGGATACTGCATCCCTCTGAGCCAATATCATGACAAAACCCAGGGGCTAATAAATGGCAGTGACTGTGCCTTGCATTGAAGAGAACTGAGTGAAGTTGTGAATGAAAGTATCTCATTATACTGAAAAGTGTGAGCTGGGTCTGTCTTATTTTTACATCTAGTACTTAAGATCTCAGAGTCCCCGGTGAGTTTTACCTTGCGGAAAAAGGCATGGGGTATCAGACTGGGGGAGGTAGGAAGCTCAGGATTGAAAACAGAGAGCAGAATTCTAATCATAGGTCCATCATTAAGTTACTATGTGACCAGGAATAAGACCCCCTTCTGGGCTTCCCTTTCCCTAAGGGGGTTATTGAGGTGCCTTGCCTGCTGAAGAGCACTTATTGTTAATAAAGGGTTATTTCAATGGAAAGTACATTTCAACCAATTGGAATTGCAATCTATTCCATTTGGGCCTTCTTTAATAGAAAGTAGATGATCACCAGAAAATACAAGGATATTAGAATTTGGGGGATTTTTAAAAAGTAATTTTGGGCTCTCTTGGAGTCAAGTCACCCCTCCCCCATGTCAGTCCCCTATCTTTCTAGCCTACAGCCAATGAAAGCCACATCTATATGCCATGAAAGTGACTCTGAGACCCTGCAGTGAGGTTCATTAATCTGCAATTATTAATGTAGAAAGTAAAGCAGACTCAAATTTAAGAAAGATTTTCAATAGAAAGCATGGAAGTTCTTCTTAAGTTTGAGTTTAAGCCTTCTTTAACTAGAATATCTCAATGCCCCAAACCTTCTTATCTCTGAGTTTGCATAGGACTTGGAGTCTAAACCGCACAAGGTACATAAGACAAACGTGGTAATGGAGACCGGCCTGGAGTCAAGCGCTGCCCCTCCTGCGGAGCAGGGCTTGGTTGCATGTCATTCTGCATCCGTCCATCTGGAATTGTTCCTCTGTGTAAGTCACTCCTCACTACCCTCTGCCCAATTAGAAACTAAGCTCCTTTAAGGGATGGAGTGTAGGTTATCCAATTTTGTGCCAGGTCTCACCTTGTCTAGCACTCAGCAAATATTAGATGCTCAAAAATATTTATGAGTGGTTGGCTGGCGAGGTCATGAGACAGCATTGTAGATTTCTGGGTTCACCTCGGGTCTCACCCTTCATTTCCCTCAGGTCCCTGACACCCACTGCACCTCGTTTCTGAAAATGGATTGATAACAGGGAGTCGAGAGAAAACTGAGTATTTGTGTTAGTTAAATATGTTTCTAATATAGTTCTGAAGAGTGGATGCTTCTCAAACAGTCCATACAACATTTATATGTCTGTCTGGAAAGATGAAAAGCTGCCAGAGCTTATTGGATCGCATGGTTGTGATTATGTGATGATTTAGCCAGCTTCCCAAGTTGGCCGCAATGTTGTGCCCAGATTGGGTGTTTTATTTAGAAATGGATTAGAAACATTGAGGTGAGTGTGGCTCCAGTTCTAGAATTATCTGCCTAAATGAAGGTTAAACAAATTTGTCTTTCCCCCCTGAATATATGTTCTTAAGGGAGAATGTAGAAAATGCAGAGAAGCCAAAAAAGAAATTAGAGAATGCCTGTAATCCTTACATCCAAAGATGACCACTCTTAATTTGTAAATAGTTATATTCCTAGGCTCTTTCTAGTTAGATAGAAATATAAATGTGAATTTTTAATCAAAAAGAGCTGCTATTGAGAACTGAAACCAATGTGCTTGCCCACCTGTATGATAAACAATTATGTGTCCATCATATTTCCCTGTTTCTGCCCCAGACACTACTAGGACCAGACAAATAACTTGCTACTTATTTCAGAAAATCCTTGCTTACTTGTGAAGACCAACAGCCTGCTCAACATTTGCTTCGAGACCTTACCTTACTGTGCCCACCAGTCCAAAGCTACATGCCCCACACTGCCCAGTGCCAACCAGTCCCCCACGGGGCAGGGCCAGCCTCGTGATCACTGACTTGACCCTGAAGCCCTTTACACATCCTTCCCCAGTTTTGCCCTTTGTAAATTCTTCCAAGACTTTGTCAAGAAGGTGTTCTTTATCACAATAAATCTGATAAACTTCACTTTTCTTGATCACCAGGTTTTTCTAGGTTTTTAAAAAAATTGTTAGTTAACATTCTACATACTGTTTTTTTTATTTTTGTTCATGTATCATAAACACTTTTTTTTACCCCTTTTCTTTTTTTACTTTTTTTTTTGTTATTCTCACCTCAGGACATTACTTTTTTCATTACTTTCAGAGAGAGAGGAAGGGACAGAGACATCGATGCAAGACAGAAGCATCAGTTGGACCCCAGACCAGGAATCTTAAGGACTCTGACCAAGAATCGAACCTATAGCCTTTCAGTTACGAGAAAATGCTCCAACCAACTGTGCCTCACTGGCCAGGGCCCTTACCCATTTTCACCTGTAACATCATTCTTATGTATCATAATCCATTTAACCAGTTTCCTGTTATTTTTGGTCTTTAGGATGCTTCTAATATTTTACTCTTATAACAATGCTATAACAAAGTTCTAGTAAGCTAGATTCTTCATTATCTCTGATCCCCCCAAGAGTAAACTTGCTAAATCAGAAGGCAGGTGCATTTTAAGTCTCCTGACATATATTGCTAAATTTGCCTCCAGATCACTCTGTCTTCCTCTCACTAGAAGACTATGAGTGCTTACTTTATTAAATCACTGCCTGTATTGGGTTTTATTATTTTTCAGTTCTCAGTTTGGTAAGTGAAACACACCTGATGGCTATCTTGTTACCCGCTTGTTGATCTCTCCTAAGTTTGCAACCATTTTTGCAACTGTGTTGAAGTTCTGTCTCTCTCAGAGGGCAGAGGGCAGAAGGCAGAGGGCAGAGGGCAGAGGGCAGAGGGCAGAGGGCAGAGGACTGGCTCCCTTCTCGGCAGCTTAGCTACTACATATCTGTGAGGCTGCTGCATCCTGGAGTATGTCAACTATAAGCTGGTTCTCATGGCAGCTGTTCCCCTTTAGGCTTCTTAGTATATTTCTAAGTAGAAGACAAAAATGTAGAATTTTTTCTTTAAGTAAAACATGAGAAAATTTGAAAAGACAAAAATCTTTACTTTAGGCCATGTGAGAATTGCCATTTTAGATCAAACTCAAAGTATTTCCTGCCAGCAGAGTCTCAAGAGTATTAGGAACATATTACAAGAAGGTGTGTCAGTGTGTGTGGTGGAGAAGGTGTGTATGTATGTATAATGTTCCTGACTTATAGTTTTGGAAACATTAGTTTCCAAACTTCAGAAGAGTTATTCTCTACCAGAAATGTCCACCAGAAACTCCCAGAACTCACTGAGCGTTTGGCCATCAGAGTGAGGTCAGCCCCATCCTTCGGGAAGATGACTGTGCACCCAGTGAGGACAGAGATGGTGAGCTGGCAGGCCCTGCGCTGGGGTTTGTGCAAGCAAGAGAACCCAAAATACCAAATCTGTACTTCTGGGGTGATGATCTCCAAAGTACTATATGCCTA